AAATTAAGGTACTAGCATGTGTTTCTCCCTTCGTCCACTTTTTTGTTTTCATGTGTTGATGTGGCGACACCAGTTACACTGCTGCAGGTTTACCAAAAGGATGTCTGTGAGCAGAAATAAAATCCTCCCGCCCCCTCTTGCATTTATCATGCCCAAAACTGATGCTGTGTGTTGCTCCATGGTAAGTTATCACCATTAGCTCTCTTAAGGGCTAAGGATTTCATCAAACATCATCCTATACAATAAAGACTAGATTGGAGTGTCACCAAAAGGGCAGAGAGTGAGATGGATATGAATATGTGTGTCCCTTATCTAGATATGGGAAATGTTGGGGACCTAGGCCACATTTTTAGCATAACTACAGTGGTGCCTCGCTTGACGACGTCAATCCATTCCAGCGAAATCGCTGTTAAACGAAATTGTCATCAAGCGATTTTTAAAAACCCAATGAAACACATTGAAAACCCTTCAATGCGTTCCAACGGGCTAAATAACTCATTGTAAAGTGAAGATCCTCCATAGAACAGCCATTTTCCTCTGCCTCTATAGCGAGGAATCCGTCCTAAAGCATAGCGGGGAGCCATTTTGCACAGCAGGCGGCCATTTCAGAGCTGCCGATCAGCAGTTTGAAAATCGTCATCTAGTGAAAAATCAGTTCCCAAAGCAGGCAACCAATCATTGCGAAGCGAATTTTTCCTATTAGATCATCATTTTGCGATCGCAAAAGTGATCACAAAAACTCATCATCAAGTGGTCTGGTTGTTTAATGAGGTAATCGTTAAGCGAGGCACCACTGTATTTCTCAGAGCAAGAAGGGAAGAAGGAAGAAAGAGAAACAGGATGAAAAGGGATTGGGATATGAGAACCTAAAGTGCCGTGTATTGGCACAGGATACAATATTCATCACTAAAGAGGGATAAATAGCAAGTGCAGCCTTGTAACTACAGTGAAAAATTGAAGCTTTGCCCCAAGGTATCAAAACGTTTAGAGGGCACCAAAATCTAGAAGCGAATCTAGATTGTTCAGATTAAAGGATTACTTTGGTGAGTTTGGAGTATGGCCATACTTTGTCATGCTGTGTTTGAGTGGCATGCACCATGAAGTCACCAAAGGAATCTTTTCATTAGCAGCATTTTGCTGCTGCTGTCATTCCTGTTGCAATGCAAAGCTGCAGAACATTTCAGCAAAACATTATTACAATTTTTTAAAAAGTAACATCCTGCCCAACACTGCTTATAATTATGGGACCTTGCTCACAGTAGCAAAGAAACATCAAGTGACCATAGAAGAAAAAACACAGTAGTGGAGGATGGAAAAAAGGATTAAATCCTCTAATCTGCTTCAAAGAGAGTGGCTAGCTGGAACCCTCAACAGAAGCACTCCTTTAGCAATAAATCAGGTCCAAACACACCATTGCTATTCACAAAGCTGATTAGACTTTCCTATATGGCAGAATCCACTAGCTATTTACCGGTACACCAGACAACAACTCTGACCTTATGTGGGCACGTGCAACTACTGTACCTCAATATGTTTTCCTAAACTTGGAGAAACATTTTGGACTAATGTTAAAATTCCTGAGAAGTTGTGTTTGAGGAAGAAGTTCTAAACTGGCTTTGTATGTCAATTTAGGTACAAATCACGGGCAACCTAGTTATAAGTCATGATTTGGTTTGTACACAAAGAATGCTTTTCTAAGTTTCATCTCCTGACAAATTGGTGAATTTGGCAGGAAGTGTCAGAGAGAATTGCCACTTGCACTATCCTGTAATGCTATACTATTTTAAAACTAGAAGCATTAGATGGGTTGTCTGCATCTTTTTGAACAACCAAACAGCTTTTGTGGGCTCACAATCAGTATGCATGTGTGTGTTGTCTTTAGCCTTGGGAAGTGAAAAAATGCTACAGGCTTTGTGTATAAATTGCACAAACCACAGTAGGGAAAAGTGCTTTGTATCTTAATATTGCATTGCAGGCGAAATTTCTCAAGTGGGAGGGAGCTGAGAATCTTTGGTAAAATATTTTACTGCATGAAGACAGCCTCATTCAGCCATTAACAAAACACTGGTGAGGTGTTTTGTTTTGTTTTAAACATTTCTGGAGCACATAAAATCCCCACAGTTTTGCTGCTCTTAAGTCTTTTGTCTTTCTGCAAGAATCTTTCTAGGTCTTTAACTGAAGAAGAGACAATGAAATTGACTTCAAATTCCACTGTATGTACAATTGATAAAGCTCAAACTAGTCATTAGTAGCCAAGATAATCCATATTATTGTATTCACAAACACCATGTATGGGTGTGAAAAACTGGACAGTAAAGAAAGCTGACAGGGAAAAAAATGTTTCGTTTGAAATGTGCTGCTGGAAAAAGCTTTGTGGATACTCTGTACTGCCAGAAAGACAAACAAGTGGGTCCTAGATCAAATTGAGCCTGAACTATCTCTGGAGGCCAAAATGATGAAACTGAGGCTGCCCTACTTTGGGCACATCATAAACAGACAGGATTCTCTGGAGAAGACAATAATGCTGGGAAAGGTGGAAAGCAACAGGAAATAAGGAAGACCAAATGTGAGATGGATTGACTTTCTAAGGGAAACCACAGGGATGTTGAAGACAGAACATTTTGTAAGAACTGAGCAGGGATGCTGAAGACAGAACATTTTGAGAATTGCTCATTCATGGGGTCACCATAAGTTAGGGGTGACTTGATAGCACATAGTAACATTATTTTAACCATGTAGTTAGCAGTAGAAATCAGCACAAAGCACTTTGTGCCATGTCATCCAAGCTGTTGGTATGTTCTTCCCCCGAACTGAATCTGGCTCCCTGACTGACCTCCGGGGGGCAGGGATTCCTGCAGCGCCGCCTATGAGTGGGCAGCTGCTGGAGGAGGTGGAGAAGGGAAGTCTGTGCTCCTGCCAGAATGGAAGATCGCACAACAGAGAGCGGAGGAGCAGCATGTGCCAGCAGGTCAGCGGAGGAACGGGCCAGGGGGTGGGGGAAGTGAACATGCAGCACTTCAGGTGCTGTGCCGATAACTTAGACAACACAGCACTAAGTACTTCGTGTCCATCTCTAGTTACCAGCAATTACTGGGTTTTTAAAAAAATTACTGTTAAAGCTATAGGCAATATATTCTGCATTTCAACAGAGCCATATGATACAGGGAAGGAAACTATTACCCTTCACTTGCTAGCTGTTATTTTAATCAGAACCTCCTCAGTACATGTAGCAGTTAGCACTGGCCAGGCAGGGATTGGTGGAGGGAAGCAGAGTTTGAACGTAGATGATTGGGAGTGATGTAGTTACATCTACATAGTTACTTTTTCAGGAATGAGGTAGGACTATGTTACATTTAAAAACCAGTAAGATGAGTATTTACAAAATTACTTTAGTAATGTTTACTAGTTCTTTATAAGTTACTTTATAAGGACATGTTGAGCTATTTTAGAGGTGTTTAGGCAGGAATTCTTCATTAGGCTGTTCCCTTGTCTGTCCTAAATAGCATGAAAAATATTGTTTCCTGTTTCTGCAAGAACTTCCAGAGTGAATTATTACAGGGCCACTAGGGGGAATGGGAGAATATTTCTCTGTTAGCTTATTGGTGACACTTACAATGTGATAATAGTACATAGCAGAATAAATTATTGGTGCAAACAATGAATAACATGATGTCCCTTTAAAAAAAAGCACATCTTTTCATTAGTGCTACTCCCTCTCTCTCTCTCTCTCTCTCTCACACACACACACACAGAGAGAGAGAGAGAGAGCGAGAGAGAGAGAGAGCGAGAGAGAGAGAGAGCGAGAGAGAGAGAGAGCGAGAGAGAGAGAGAGCGAGAGAGAGAGAGAGCGAGAGAGAGAGAGAGCGAGAGAGAGAGAGAGCGAGAGAGAGAGAGAGCGAGAGAGAGAGAGAGAGAGAGAGAGGGCTTTCTGGAGAACTGTGACTATTTCCAGTTTGCTTTTCTCTACAGTATTTTTAAGCAAGCTTGTTGCATTACAATATGCTTGCAGCCAAGTCTTATGGAACGTCCAGAGCTTTTGTGTGTGTGTGTGGAGGGAGGACTAAAACTTCCAACATGCTCTTCCCCTTACAGCCAGCAGTCCAAAACAGTGAGTTTTTTTTAAAAAAACACTTCTGCAAATTTCTGGTCTGCTACAGAGAGCTGTAATTCTTCCACACCCCAGGAATCTGTAGCCCTCCAAGTATTTTCAGATTCCAGCATCCAGAAGCCTCAAGCAGCAGGGCTAATGATCAACACTGATGAAAATTGTAGCTCAGTAAAATCCAGAACCAACCAACCTAAAGCATGCAAATGTGAGTAGATAAATAGGTACCACTTCAGTGGGAAGGTAAAACAGCGTTCCCTAGTCATGCTGGCCACGTGACAACGGAAACTGTCTTTGGACAAGCACTAGCTCTGCGGCTTGAAAACGGGATGAGCGTTGCCCCCTAAAGTCGGACACGACTGGACTGAAAATGTCAATGGGAACCTTTACCTTTAACTAAAATCCAGAAAAGCACAGATTCCTTTCTCCTGCTATAAATCTATCATGAATCACATTGGATCCTGTCTAACAGGTTGCAAAGATCATCAAGTTAGAAATTCATTTGTTTTATCTTTCTCAAAATCATCTTCTGGTTGTTTGGCATGGCTCATCCCCAAGACAGCTTTGTAACTCAGGCAAATATGGTGATGTCTTTTCATAATTGAACTGAGGAGTTTACTTAAATGTGGGCAGGAAGAATAACCATTTCACACCCTTCCCATTGATTGGTGCTTCTGCATATCAACTTAGTGAAAGGAAAATAAAACTGTCAGTGATGAAGATGCCAAAGATATTTGCTGCACATCTGTTTCTCCCACACCAACAGAAAAAGGCCCCTGATACTTCTCCTTTTGCTCATCATAATGTCATGGATTGAATAAATAGTGCAGAAGAAACACTAATGAACTGAAAAGGCATAGGTAGGACAGGACAGAGACTAGACAAAGGCTCTTACTTTGTTTTGAAGTAGAACGCTGCACAGATCATGCCCACTATGACTATGCCAAAGACGATACAGGATATAGACAGCACCTGTCGCTGGTAAACCTCTTCGCTCTCTGTGGATAGTAAAATTGAGAATTATAGCAACATTAAATAGCAACATCTAGAAATATGGGGGTGTTTTTAAATGTGTGAATTAATATGACATATTGTTCCCATGGAGAACAGGAGGTGTGTGGTTTTTTGACATTGTTAAAAAACATTGTTAAAAAGTCACTGACTTAGTATGTTACAAGAGGCACAGGGCTGTTGCCTGACATAGTAGTGGATTCTTCTTTAAACCTCACCATGAATAAAAAGGAATGTTGCAAGTTGAAGTGCCTACTTGATGCCTGTTTTTGTATCACAGACATCCCAGTGGGGCAGGGAAACTAGTGGCATGACTATGCCATTGTCATCACATGATAAGCATTCCAATACTTTACAGAGGAATCAGAAAAACATGACACAGGGTAGTCACATTAAGGAGCAGCCCAGTACCTCTAATTTATACACAATTTCACTCTCAATCACTTATCCAAATAATTGGACTTGATGCTTCTAGCAAAGAAACAAGGTCTCACAGATTTCCCTTTAAGTAGCTCTGTGGATCCAGAACAAATTCATTAGGAAACCCAAATTTAAGGTGGGTGAAATGCCATGAGTTAAAGCCACAAGCATCATGCAAACAGCTTCAGTTTTGGTGGTAAATTGCCTCATGGGGTAGCATAGATATTGTCTGCCTCATGCCAAGGGTGCACTGTGTTGTGCCCCAATTACCTGTTGCACACCAAGAGTAACAGAGCAACTTGATTCACAACAGACTTTTTTGTGACGATTTGATGCCAAACCTAACTCAGGCTGCATTCCACGGTCACAAAATGACAGTAAGATTTTGAACAATTACTCGATTTTCCAGAAAGCAATCCAAGGACTACCAGGGGTCAGAAGCCTGGTAAGCAAGAACTATTTCTGAAACTATTCCTCAGGTGTTTCACCCTAAGTACTGTGGGGAACTGCAGAATTCGGTCATATCCCTCCGCCTTCCCTCAAAATACAATGTTGTAGTCCTTTTCGTCCCCTCCTTTGTTGCTCACTTTGTGGTAATCTTGTCCCTAGTCCCCACACTGTTCCTCAACATACAAACAACATAAAACAGTGAAAGATTTACAGCACTGAGAAGAAAAGAACGAAGCCAAACCAGAAAGAAACTCTCCAGCCTGGCAGCGTGGAATGACAGCCAAAAACTTCCTAGAGTCTCTGAGGTAATGAACTGCACAGGACATGACTTTCCCTGGGAGTTGATTTCCCCCCTCTTTTTAATTTTGTTTTCTTTTTTTGAAGCCACGACCTTCAGTAAACATCATTGTCAAAAAATTAACTTGAAAGACAACAATAGGATGGACACTTATTGGTCAGAGAAAACATCCTAGATCATGTCGGCATGGCCACTTGACAATTAATATGCAACGAGGGCACTGCACTACAGACACTAATCAATCATCCTCTAAGTTATATATTTTAAAGTCAAAGGCTTTCTTGATCCACCAGTTAAGTGTAAAATTGGCTGGATTATATTGCTACTCATTAACATACAACAGAGGAATAAGCCTGGAGAAGAAAAAAAGAAATGTAGAAACACTGGTGGCCATCAGAGTGACAAGTGAAGAAATATGGTTCTGAGATCCATGGTGCATCTGATTGTTTCCCAATTCATTCAAACTGGGAGATGGGTCTACAAGTACACAGGATTCTTTTTTGGACACTGATTGGTTTTTAGTGATAGGCTAATATAATGACTCTCTTTCTCTCAGAAAGCTAGCTTTTCAAGAACAGAATTCAAAAAGAAATGTTCATAAAGGGCTCCCTTTCTATTTTTTATTTTGTAATTGAAAAGATTGTTAGAACGGCTGATGAATGAGTGGGGGTCTAGCTACCATTTTTACTCTCATTAATTTCAGCAGTTAAGATTTGAACCCACATTTAAGTCTCCTATTAAATTCCAGAGAAAAAGAGGTAACCATAATTCTTCGAGTGGTCCTCTGTGAATTCACACATATGGGTCTTGTCTGCGCCTGCACTGACATTCTCAGAAGATTCTAGAGCTAAAAGTAACAATTTTATGGTGTGATTCCCCCATAAGGCACATGTTCCTCCCACCCACCATTCCCCTCAGTTCCCAGAATTTGTCCGCCGGGCAACAGAGGTATAATGAAATTAACATACCCGTGACGGACAGAGGGGAGGTTGGGTGGGTAGTGTGAATTCATAGAGGACCATTCAAAGAACTATGGTTACAGGTAAGTAACCTCTTTTTCTTCTTCGTGGCCTCTGTGAATGCACACATATGGGTGACTATCAAGCTTCACTCACCAGCAGGCAGGATGTCATGGTAGGAACGACGCTAACACAGCTCTACTGAATGCAACATCATGGCATGCTCTGACATCTAGCTGGTAGTGCTTAACAAAGGTTGAAGGTGTGGACCATGTAGCAACATGGCATATGTCAGGGATCTCAGTTCCACGCTGGAAGGCAACCAAAGTGGACAGTGCTCTGGTTGAGTGAGCTTTCAGGTGCTCAGGTGGGGACTTCTCTGAAAGTTGGTAAGCCAAGGAAATAGTGCGAACTATCCACCTCAAAATGGATTGAGAAGAGGCAGGAGCTCCCTTATGTGGGCCATGGAAACAAAGAGTCTCTTAGTTTTTCTGAAGCCTCTTGTCCTGTCTATATAAAATGCAAGGGCCCTCCTTGCATCAACAGTGTAGAGCATGTGCTCTAATGGAGAGGATGGAGACTTAAAGAAGGATGATAAGACAATAGGTTGATTGATGTGGAAACATCAAAGGCAGGAAGGAAACATCAAAGTATAAAGTGACCTTGTCAGGGTGAAACTGGAGGAAAGGTGGCTCAGACTGGAGGGCAGTGAGTTCACTAGCCCTCTTGGCAGAGGTAATAGCTACTAGGAATGCTGTTTTAAAGGTAAGTAGCTGCAGGCTTGAAGACGACATGGGCTTGAACGGTGGGTGCATCAAGGCATTTAGTACCAATTGAACAAACCATTGAGGCACTATACGCTGAGGTGGTAGATGAACGTTGTTCAGTCCCTTGAGGAATTTCTTGATCGTAGGGTATGAAAACAACCTTGTAGATGGAGAATTGTCTGGTTGATGGGCAATGATGGTGGAGATCTATACCCTCAAGGAGGATAAAGGTCTGGTTGATGGGCAATGATGGTGGAGATACATATATACCCTCAAGGAGGATAAATATAATCCAATTTCAAAAAGATGAAGAAGGAAGGAGAGCAAAGTCGGCAGGGAAACAGGTATGACAGGTAGGTTATGTTCATTGGTATATCTGATGAAGGATTTCCATTTATTCTAATGAAGGGATCAAGTCAATGGTTTACGGGCTCAATCCCAAATGGCCATCACTTTGGGAATATCCTCCAGGCTGTGAGACTGAGGGGTGTCAGGTCTGGGTGGAAAACTATCTCTTGATTGAGCGTCAGGAGATCTGCGAGGAGGGGAAGAAGAAACGAGTCTGTTGACATTAATGTTAGGTGAGTGAACCAGGGTTGCCTGGGCCATCTCAGTGCTATGAGGATGGCATTCACTCTGTATTGTCGGAGTCAGATGATCACCCGTTGGACAAGCGGTATCAGTGGAAATAGACAGAGGAAATTCTTGGACCAGTCTACCATGAAGGCATCCCCAATGGAATCGCTATCCGTTCCATCTCGGGAGCAGAAAAGGTGGGACATTTGATCTTCAGAATCGCTATCCGTTCCATCTCGGGAGCAGCAGGTGGGACATTTGCAGTTGATCTTCGATGCAAAGAGATCGATAGAAGGAGTGCCCCTACGACAACAAAGTTGGCAGAACACGGCATTGTTCAGAGACCATAAATCCCAAAGGTGGCAAATCAAAAAATTTAATCTTGTACCCATGGGCAATGATAGATAGAATCCATTTATCATTTGTTACATTTTGCCAATGGTGGAGAAGCAGGGCCAACCTAGTTTGGAAGGGGATCTGGAGAAAGTTGGAAACGTTTGGTCAATATTGATTACCCTTTCTTTGGTGCTTGGGAAAGGGTTACCATTGACTACAGGGACGAAAGGAAGGAAGAAGCGGTTGTGGGGTTGGAAGAGATTTTTCTGAATGTTGAGGTTGATATTGCTTGTATGGATGAAATCGTTGATACTGATACTGAGGCTAAAATTGTGGGAATGATTGGTCCTGTACTGAGAGCACTGAAATCCAGGAAATTGTTGATATGAATAGGACTTTGCAGTCTTACACATCTTGTGGAAGTTTTCCATAGTTTCATCAGTTTTGTGGTTGAAAAGACCAGTGCTGTCAAAGGGTAAATCCTCAATGGTGTCATCGGAAATTGTGGATGATCTAAGCCATGCATGCCGTCAAATTGAAGTAGAGGAGACCAAAGAAGCAGCTTCTGCTGTGTGTCTGGCCACAATTCTCTGGTGTTTAAAGTGCTGTCAAAGGGTAAATCCTCAATGGTTTCATCAGAAATTATGGATGATCTAAGCCATGCATGCCGTCGAATTGAAGTAGAGGAGACCAAAGTCTTAGAAGCAGCTTCTGCTCTGTGTCTGGCCACAATTCTCTGGTGTTTAGCAGCAGCTATGGCCTCAGAATGAGGATTAAACAAATCTATTTTTATTGACTCCGCCGCTGTCTCAAGAAGGGGGAATCCCCTATTCCAAAGGTGATGCTGTATGCCCCCATTGTGGCTTGATAGTTGATATTTCTCAATAAGAAGTATTGTAGAGAACAAATCCTTCGACCCAAAATGTCTATTTTTCTACCCTCCTTATTCATACGGGTGACTTTAGATTTGTTGTGACCTCTAGATTCCACTATTATAGAATTTGGTAAGGTGTGTTTATTCAAAAATTCAATGTTGACACCATGAATTTTATAAAGGTTGTCAGTTCAGTGTGAGATCTGCATCATAGAGGGAAATGTATCCCATGTGTCCTTGGTAAGTTTTAAGACAGACTTATTAAAAGACAAACTGATTGGGGGAGGGCCCTCTCCTGGATGATATC